ATAAAGCGGATTGCAGAACAGCTCCTCGCATGCCATACGAGGTCGTGTGGTCAGTATCATGTCTGGTCACCGTTGTCTCTGTGGTGCTGATTTTGAATAAGCTCAAGTGTTGATTTTCTTACTCGCTATAGCTAAGCTAAGGTGAATGACAAGGAATTGCTAATTTCAAAGGTGGTCCAGATGTCTTGTGACACCAATTTAATTCTTTAAAACTTCACTTTTTTTAAAGATAGATTTATTTAAAACAAAAATGAATATGCACAGGAAAAAAATTCGGGGTCCATTAAGTGGGGTCAAAAGATATCTGGACCACCTTGCACAATCTATGTTGTGGGATTTTGATTTAAAGCTTTCGTGACTGCAGTAATTAATATTCTTAGCTCTTTCGGTAAAGTCACGTTGAAGGGAAACAATAAAATAATAAAATATATATAAAACAATAGAAATTCTCACAACGTTTCGACCATAACACAAACGGTCATCATCAGGTGTGAAAACCAACGGCAAGAAACATTTCAAAGAAGTGGCGGTTCGTATTTATTTATTTTAAAAAAAAAACGTTGGCACCACGGGCAGCGATTTGGCAGTTTGTTTAGAAGGACGAGTCCATCTATGTTCTGAAAAGAGAAGGGGGGAGACGAAAAATTAATGGATGCTGTCTGAAAGCCACCGTAAGCGTGAACGATCAATTAAGACCTGAAATGGTTTATCAAATCTTACAATCTTCTTTGGTTCTTTCGGTAAAGTCACGTAGAATGAGAATAAAATAATAAATTGATAAAATAAAATAACACAATAATATTCTCACGACGTTTCGGCCACAACACAAGCGGCCTTCATCAGGTGAAGGGGGCGAGACTGTCTGGTAGGACAGCGCTGGAGTGAGAGAGCCACGTTCAGATCACGGCTTTTAAGCTGTGTGAGAGGAACAAAGAGCCTTGACACAGGAATTAGCATAAAATTTAGCATTGAAATGGCTGAATGATTAGCTTGTGACTGGTCACAGAAATAGCTATGTTAAAAGTTAAAGCATACACATCCGCAGAGGCACCCATTGTTAAAAGGAATTAGCATAGAATTTAGCATTGAAATAGCTAAGTTAAGGCATACACATCCGCAGAGGCACCCCTTGACAATGGGATTAGCATAGAATTTAGCATTGAAATGGCTGAGTGATTCGCTTGTAACTGCTACAGAAATAGCTACGTTGAAGTCAGAGCATACACATTCACCGAGGCACTTAGTACAAATCAAACAGGAGAATTTAGCATTGAAATAACTAGGCGAATTTAGCATTGAAATAACTGGGTGATTTGCTAGTGACTGGTCACAGAAATGACTACACATCTGAGCTATTCACAGTACTATATAGTGAACCAATAAAAACTAAAATATAAATTACCTTCATGTTATCAATAAACTCTATATTCTCCAATCAGCTAAGCTACCAACCATAAGTCGTTGTATATCACAATGCTATATGGCGAAAAAATGGGTGGATTCTTACCCTCAAATTTCCGTACCACGGATAGCTATGGGCCCCGTTCAGACGGACGAGTTCGTCCATGGTCGGAACAGAGGAGGGGGAGAGAGACAGCTGCGAGGCCCTAGTATGCTCCATGTTGTAAACCATACCATTAACCGTGGTGTGAGAGGTATTAAGAGGCAATGCTGGCGAAAGAGCTGCGGTCTGAAGGACATCGTAAAATTACAATTAATTAAGAACAGAAATGATTTAACACATCTTTCCAGTGGTTACTAAGCCTGAATCCATCTTCTCGGTTGAAATTGTCTCTGTGCTTGTATATGTGAATGGCCTCATGAACGAATCTCTCATGGTAGCCGGTTGGTTTGCAAAGAACCTCCGTCTTGGAGAAGTCAATGTCATGTGAGCCCACTGAATTGTAACAGTGGTCTGCCACGGCAGAGGAGTTCGTCTTACCGTGTTTCAAGTCTGCTTTATGTTCGCGGATGCGGTCCGAGATATGTCTTTTGGTTTCTCCAATGTAGCTACTACCACAGAGGCACTTTAGTTTGTAAACGCCTGGGTACTGTATGTCTGGAAGAGCATCTTTTACAGATGGAACTAAATCACGGATTTTGTGTACTGTGTTGAATCGGACCTGGATCTTGTGTTTATTCAGGATTTTGGAGATCTTTTTAGTGACCCCTGCAATGTAGGGTAAGGTGATGGTTTTGAGTGGCTCCACAAGAGGATCCTTCTTCATGACTTCAAACTAAAGTGCCTCTGTGGTAGTAGCTACATTGGAGAAACCAAAAGACATATCTCGGACCGCATCCGCGAACATAAAGCAGACTTGAAACACGGTAAGACGAACTCCTCTGCCGTGGCAGACCACTGTTACAATTCAGTGGGCTCACATGACATTGACTTCTCCAAGACGGAGGTTCTTTGCAAACCAACCGGCTACCATGAGAGATTCGTTCATGAGGCCATTCACATATACAAGCACAGAGACAATTTCAACCGAGAAGATGGATTCAGGCTTAGTAACCACTGGAAAGATGTGTTAAATCATTTCTGTTCTTAATTAATTGTAATTTTACGATGTCCTTCAGACCGCAGCTCTTTCGCCAGCATTGCCTCTTAATACCTCTCACACCACGGTTAATGGTATGGTTTACAACATGGAGCATACTAGGGCCTCGCAGCTGTCTCTCTCCCCCTCCTCTGTTCCGACCATGGACGAACTCGTCCGTCTGAACGGGGCCCATAGCTATCCGTGGTACGGAAATTTGAGGGTAAGAATCCACCCATTTTTTCGCCATATAGCATTGTGATATATAACGACTTATGGTTGGTAGCTTAGCTGATTGGAGAATATAGAGTTTATTGATAACATGAAGGTAATTTATATTTTAGTTTTTATTGGTTCACTATATAGTACTGTGAATAGCTCAGATGTGTAGTCATTTCTGTGACCAGTCACTAGCAAATCACCCAGTTATTTCAATGCTAAATTCGCCTAGTTATTTCAATGCTAAATTCTCCTGTTTGATTTGTACTAAGTGCCTCGGTGAATGTGTATGCTCTGACTTCAACGTAGCTATTTCTGTAGCAGTTACAAGCGAATCACTCAGCCATTTCAATGCTAAATTCTATGCTAATCCCATTGTCAAGGGGTGCCTCTGCGGATGTGTATGCCTTAACTTAGCTATTTCAATGCTAAATTCTATGCTAATTCCTTTTAACAATGGGTGCCTCTGCGGATGTGTATGCTTTAACTTTTAACATAGCTATTTCTGTGACCAGTCACAAGCTAATCATTCAGCCATTTCAATGCTAAATTTTATGCTAATTCCTGTGTCAAGGCTCTTTGTTCCTCTCACACAGCTTAAAAGCCGTGATCTGAACGTGGCTCTCTCACTCCAGCGCTGTCCTACCAGACAGTCTCGCCCCCTTCACCTGATGAAGGCCGCTTGTGTTGTGGCCGAAACGTCGTGAGAATATTATTGTGTTATTTTATTTTATCAATTTATTATTTTATTCTCATTCTACGTGACTTTACCGAAAGAACCAAAGAAGATGAATCATTGCAGTCACGAAAGCTTTAAATCGAAATCTTACAATGATTGCTAAGCCAGAATCCATCTTCTCGGTTGAAATTGTCTCTGTGCTTGTATATGTGGATAGCCTCATGAACGAATTTCTCATGGTAGCCAGATGGCTTACAAAGAACCTCTGTCTTGGAGAAGTCAATGTCATGTGAGCCTACTGAATTATAACAATGATCTGCCACAGCCGAGGTGTTGGTCCTACCGTGTTTAAGGTCTGCTTTGTGTTCACGAATGCGGTCTGAGACATGGCGTTTGGTTTCTCCAATGTAACTACTACCACAGAGGCAACTTAGTTTGTAGACACCAGGGTACTGTATGTCCGGAATCACATCTTTTACAGACGGAACCAGATCACGGATTTTATGTAATGTGCTGAAACGGACCTGGATCTTGTGTTTATTCAAGATTTTGGAGATCTTTTTTGTGATCCCCGCAATGTAGGGTAAAGTGATGGTTTTGAAAGGCACCTCAAGAGGGTCCTTCTTCATGGTTTGAGTGATAGCTTTGCGGATTGTATAGTCGGAGTAACCATTAGCCTTAAGAGCTTGGTGTACGTGCTTGAGTTCACTGCCTATGTGTTCCTTGGTCGGATATGCATTGGGCTCTATGGTACAGAGTCTTGGTGAGAGAATTCTTCTGTGATGAATGGTGATGGGAATCTGGTTTCAGATAAGCATCCGTATGGGTAGCTTTCCTGTAGACAGAGTGGCTCATTCAACCATCAGGTCTCTTTTTTATTAGGACATCCAAAAAAGGTAGCTTGCCATCTTTTTCGACTTCCATGGTAAATTTGATGGCTGGGTGTATGGAATTGATGTGGTCGAAGAATTGGTCTAGAGCAGGCCGGCCATGTGGCCAGATGACAAAAGTGTTTTATATATATTTTATTATTTTATTGTTTCCCTTCAACGTGACTTTACCGAAAGAGCTAAGAATATGTTGTGGGAATCAAGGTGTGGTCTGTGAACTTCAATTCCAACGTTCCCCAGGCCAATTACCCACAAAGAAAGTGGTCAAGTATGGTGTTGGCCACACCATTGTCATCTCCCATCCCTGGCTTAATAAGGGCCCGCTTAATTAAAATTTTGCCAGGTAAGGCCCACTGAGCTATATAGCTCTTTTTTCAGAAGCGACCTGGTTACAAATGATAGCTCAAAGAAGTGGCTTATTACGTGTAAATTAATAGCGGCCATATACTCTAAACGCACGTTTCTAAATGTGGAGTATAAAAACCGGAGAAGGCAGAGAAAAATCCACACGACCACGAGGAGAACATGCAAACTCAAAATATACCGGCGTCAGGGTCGGGATCAAACCCATTAACTCCTGTTTACCATGCGAGGCAGTTAACATCTCGCCACCGTGGCGCCCCACTTCCAGTATTCATAACATGAGTCGTTTTCTTTGTGCTTTGTTTCCAGGTCTCCTACATCAAAGCGATAGATGTATGGATGGGGATGTGCCAGGTATTCGCATTTGCCGCACTACTGGAATTCGCAGCTGTCAATGTAATGGCACGACAGAACAAGCGGGCTATGAAGGAGCTGAAGAAGAAATCGGACGGCTCAAAGGAAATGGTTTGTATATCATTTTTGACCAGTGGCATGGTATTTGTGCCTCGCACCAATAAGTTCCTGTGTTTAATTCCTGACTCGGGCACCTTTCTGTGTGGAGTATCCTCTGGGTTCTCCAATTTCCTCCCATTGTAAAAAAGAGAAAACACAATTTAATTGGTAATGACCGAATATGTTTTTTTTTAATACCTGCAAATAACTCATTTGGGATTTCATATAGCCACATCACCCCCAAGTACAAAAATTTGGCAGAATCCTCCTGAAAAAATTGTCTTAAGACTCAGTGAATCATTGCTGGGTAATACAAATATATTCAAAATGTTCTTTCTATTTTACTTACTGAGTGTAAATATTCTATTTCAAAAGGACATTGGGGTGCTTGACCATATTTTTTAAGGCATCATATACCTGTGGGAGGAAACCAGTGTACTTGAAGAAACCCCACGACAGTTATAGGATCATGCTCCAAGTTCCACACCGATGGGTTGTGAAGCCATGAATCCAGTTGCTGTATTGAAATGTTTTGTTCCCCAATAGCCTCCAGGCCTGGGAGTTTCACAAATCTGCATGACCCACCAACCCTTGTCTCCATCCTGCTGGATTGCCTCTCATCTACTCAAATAACCCATTACCATTTGCATTGGTTTCCTTGCTTGCTGTACTTCCTTTAAGGTGTCACTTGATATTTTGGCGAAGTTCTTGTTGAAGTGATGAAATTGTGATGTTAATTCCCATGTCTCTTTTGCCAGAGCGGCAGCCTCTCTTAGTCAGCTCGGTTTTACTCGATGCCCACAACCATATCCAAAATCCTTATTGGACTGAGTATGCACGTGTCCGTGAAGCTGAATCTATCTTTACTTAAAGTCTACAGACATTCAATTCATTTCGTTGTGGAATACGAGTCAGGAAAAGAGTCAAATATCTTACAGATTCAGCGCATGTCTTCCAACTCAAGCATGACATGTTTGTTGATGGGCTTGAGCCAGTGGTGGAAAGTTCACATTGCTATGGTGGGGTTATTCCCCATGAGAACCACTGTTAGTTTTCCACAAATAGAGATAAATAGAGAATCAAAATTGTTAAATCATGTCCAATTATTTAGCTTTTCTGGCTGCACAAAAACAGTAACTTTACTCCTATGCCTTACCCACCCCACCTTCTTTAGCCGGATGAGCAAGAGCTGAAGAACACCTTCGTCACACAAGCACATACCATCGATCGCATCTCCCGCATTGTGTTTCCTACCACCTTCCTCATTCTCAACATTTTCTATTGGGTCTTCTACAAAGTGGTGCTCAAGTTCCGCTAGAGAAGACACATCCAACCTTGCGTATCACTAATCTTCCAAGAAAATCTTGAGAGCACTTGCATGTTTCATATGTTACTGGTGAATCGCTGATGTTTTTAAAAAAGAATACCATTAAACCAAAAGGATACAATTTAATGTGTTGGGGGGTATTAGCACCTGTAAGTGGTCATTTCATCTTCCACTGGGTTTCTTTAACGTTATGAAAACTCAGTTAAGGCTGAATGCATATAACATCAACATGAACGCATTCATTAGTCGTTTGTGGTAACAAAATGATCGATGGGAACAACACTCCGCCACTCACCCAGCCTTGCCTCCACATAGCCTCCATGCAGGTACTCCTACATGGCTGATGTTGATGTTTCCCGTGAGACGTGTACGCTCCATTGGCCTGACCACACAACAACGTTAGATTCCAAAGAAATTACGTAAAGCTCGGTGAATAAGGGGGGGGGGGGGGGGGGGTGGGGGGGCGAAGAGAACGCATGGTGGAGATGGGGCATTGGAAACATAACTTATCTATTATAATAGAAGACACGTTGAGCAGATAGCTTTATTTACATGTGTTTGTTAACTTTCATATGGAAGAAAGTCAGAATAAAACGCCATGAGTTTTAATTAGCAAATTATTCATCGTCGAAGGTGTCTCAAACAGCAACTTGACTACAGATGTCTTATTCTTGGTTCTTTCGGTAAAGTCACGTAGAAGGGAAACAATAAAATAATTGTTTTATTTTTCTTATTTTATTGTTTCCCTTCTACGGGACTTTATCGAAAGAACCAAGAATATGAATCCCTGCAGTCACGAAAGCTTTAAATCAAAACAGATGTCTCCACAATGATCGCTGGTTTCCTTGACTTACATGGCAAAAATATAACATTCTGAAAGTGCCTGATATAATCTAATTTCGTTAACGTGTGTTCGATTGCGTATAAGGCTGGTTTCTGTACAATTGTGTTTAGAGCCATGAGATATGTTTGCTCGTGTACGGCAGCCTGCTTTGTGAGCTATTATACAAGCCGAGAGCTCATGTTGCTGTGAGTGAAGATCAAGGTGTTCCTTATCTCTATTCTACCCATTCGCTCGAGTTAAAAAAAAAAACCAGCCACACTACAACTGTGGCCATGACACCTAAACGATGGAACAAATATTAAACCACGGAGGAATTAGCAAGACGACACGAACTCTCTTCTAAGGCCCTTTCGTGGCGAGTAGACCTCGACATTGTCATTTAGCTCCTGAACATATTGGCATACGCAAGAAGCAGAAGTTCAACGCCAATGACGTGTTCTCCCAGCATTGCTCTGTTTCCGCTCCGTTGAGAAAACAAGCTAGTCGTGTTTCAGACCAAGTCATCAACCCCTAATGGCAGACTTAGCTCATTTTCAGGCAAAGGCCCCAAGTCACATTTGTCCCCACAGGGACAGCTGCCACTGGGAGTGCTTTCAAATGTTTGAGGTGAGATGTGTTCTAGAGTGCTGAGGCGCCTTGGCATATAGGAGGGCACTATGTCAAAAACAAAATAACCATTACTATTTGACATCTGTTGCTGTCTGTGTTTAACTTTATGGGACCTCGGTGAAGATAAATATTGTGTGTTCAGTTGGTAAGTAATGAAACTAGTCTCATAACAAAATACACCATTCGACACTTCATGGCGGCGGTATTGCATTTTGGGACCATGTGAAGTGGCGAAGTGGTCACACCATTCCGGTGTAGACATAATGCTCAGTTTTATTTTACCTTCATTAATATCGGCATGCAGACATGAATAATATTAAGGCAGTGACGCAGTGGTACCTGTTAATAGAGATGCTCATTAAGATTGATTAAATCAGGCCTGGGGGCCCCGTTCTGTGATAAACTGTAGGTTATTGTCAAGAATCACGTAGCTTTCCATCATATTTTTTTTTGTTTTCGTTAAACGTAGTTTACAAAACTCCCATCAAAATATTTGATAATATTCTAAATTGGGTATATAAGGGTTGGTTTATAGTTGTGAGACTCGATGCTTATATTTAGTCTCATGTAATCAACTTGTAAGCATTCTTTTTTACAAACTTCCATGATTGAAAGTGTATACGTGTGATGGTCTTTTATTCAGTTCTTCCATGGGTTTTCAAAATCGTGTACACTGTAAAAAAATTCATGCAGTTGAAAGACAACATAAAGATTCTGCCAAAATTCCACATTTTCAGACCATTTGAATGACTATTGTCTAAATAATTCAGGCAGTCTGGGTGAAATCTCTACGCTGAACTTTCAAGTTGCCCCTGAAGAGCCAGAGTCGTTTTTGGTGATTTACCTGCGTTTAAATTTAAGTTATATTTCATTTTTTCCAATCATCAAATGATTGAAATGTGTAACCACTCAATGTTTTATTTATTTTGATTTAAAGCTTTCGTGACTGCAGTAATTCATATACATAGCTCTTTCAGTAAAGTCACGTTGAAGGGAAACAATAAAATAATAAAATATATAAAACAATACAAATTCTCACGACGTTTCGACCATAACACAAACGGTCGTCATCAGGTGTGAAAAGCCGTTTGTGTTATGGTCGAAACGTCGTGAGAATTTTTATTGTTTAATATATATTTTATTGTTTCCCTTCAACGTGACTTTACCGAAAGAGCTAAGAATATGTTTTCTTTATGTGTACTGCATACTAAAGGAAGGTGAATGCTGATGGTAGGGTGAGATCTAGAGTTTGAGAAGGATTGCTCTACATTATTATATCCATATTAAAGCTTGTATTTACCTACTACATTCAACTATTATACTAGTGTAATAAACGACTTCCACGACAGGTTGAGACTTGCGTCCTTCATTTAGTGATGACTGCTCGGCGCCGCACTCCCTTCTGTATGGTCACCCTCTCTCCCTCTCGCCGCATGCATGCGCTCACTGCTCCTCCGTTCCCGCGCGGCTTCCCTCGCTCTCGCTTCCCCCGCGCACCGCTGGTCGACGGCGCGCCGGGAATCGGGAGAGCTTCGGCCCTCAAGGCTGCCACGTGGCCGGTGGCGTGACGAGATGGTGGAGATGCAGTCCGGACTCCAGGCTTCCACACCGACCCCGAGACCTCCACTTGCCTCTCCTTACATCCCTCTCGGCAGAGCGAAGCCCTGCCTCTAACCACGCCCCCCTCAGAACCTTCCCGATGGTTCCCGCATGTACCGTTGAGCTCTGCCCATGAACTTTGACCCAGATGGAACCCATAGCCCTGATTGGCTATGACTGATGCGGCAGTGCCTATGCAGCCCTCCGTCGCCCGTCGGTGTGCTCTCTCGTTACATCACCCCCCCCTCCCCGGGATAAATTAAAATAGCCGTCCTGGCTAGGAAGAAGGTTAACCCGACGAGAATAAGAACAACAATAACAATGCATAAAAATAAACGTAACGAGCGCAATACGAAAGAACCAGCGTGAACAGGAAGGATTAACGAAATCGGTTCAACTTGGAACGGGTCCGCGATGCCGGACCGTCTCCAGCATCGACATGCGGCTTCGCTGCCTCGACCCCCACCTCTCTCTCTGCCCCCCCCCCTCTCTCTCTCTCTATTTAAGGCCTCGACACAGAGGCGTTGTGTCTCTGCGTGTCTATGTGTGTGTCTCTCTCTGCTTGTGTCTCTGTCTGTGTGTCTCCGTGTCTCTGTTTGGTCTCTCTCTCAAATTTAGCAAACTTTGGAAGAACGTTAATCAACTAGGTAGGGTGTTGACTGTTGTGTTAGCCGACTCTCTGTGTTGTATTGCATTGTGTTTCTAAGTTTACTAGATTTTTTCGACCTGATTGCTTGTGTTGCAATCGAAACGTCGTATTCTATTATTTCATTTATTTTCTTTCTACGTGACTTTACCGAAAGAACCAAAGAGTAATTCCTGCAGTCACAAAAGCTTCAAATCAAGTTTGAACCACCTCTACGGGGAGGATTTAAGTTTGGTTTCTCTCTCTGTGTCTGTCAAATTTCACACTTAACTTCTAATTTAGCAATCTTTGGAAGAACGTAATCAACCAGGCTATGCGTTAACGGTGTGTTAACCGACTCTCTGTGTTGGATTGCATTACATTTCCAAAATTTTTGCTCAGTTCGTTTACTCAAACTTCCTATTTCTCTCAAATTTACCAGGCTCTCATGGACTATTTGCTCTTTCTCTCCCCAGGCTGCCGCGGGGTGGATTTCCACACAGCTCTCTCATTGACATGTTAATTTCTCTGCTCCAGCACCAACCCTCTCTCTCGATTTAAGGCCACGACACAGAGGCATTGGGTCTCTGTGTGTCTATGTTGTGTGTTTCTCTCTGTGTGTCTCTGTGTTGTCTCTCTCTGCTTGTGTGTCTGTCTGTGTGTCTCCATGTCTGTGTTTTGTCTCTCTCAAATTTAGCAATCTTTGGAAGAATGTAATCAACCAGATAGGGTGTTGACTGTTGTGTTAGCCGACTCTCTGTGTTGTATTGCATTATATTTCTAAGTTTACTAGGTGTGTTTTCTACCTGATGACGACTGCTTGTGATGCAATCGAAACGTCTATTTCTATTATTTAATTTATGTTCTTTCTACGTGACTTTACCGAAAGAACCAAAGAGTAATTCCTGCAGTCACGAAAGCTTCAAATCACATTATTTAGATCATTGAGTTTAGATAGGTCTTATATATCATTCAAGGTTACCACATGGATTTGAAATTGATCCTAGTTCTAGATTTAAAGCTTTCGTGACTGCAAGGATCCATACTCTTTGGTTCTATTCGGTAAAGTCACGTAAAAAACAAAAAAAAAATTCACGACGTTTCGGCCACAACACAAGTGGCCTTCATCAAGTGAAGGGACCAGACTGTCTAGAGGACAGCGCTGGAGTGAACACAGCCAAGCTCAGACCGCGACCTTTAAGAAGTGAAATAGTCATCCTCTCAACCGATAAAGGCAACGCTACTGTAATTATGGATAAAGATTCATGCAACAACAAAATCCAGAATCTGCTCAACGATGGAAGTTACTCCAAAATCAAAAATGACCCTACTAATAGCCTAGCGATAAAAACCAACAAGATCATCACAAGTTCGACCTCCCTAATCGACCCAACTAAACGTCCCTCCCTAAAACCTTCTGCTGCAAGACCCCCTAGATTCTATGGTCTTCCCAAGATTCATAAAGTAGGCACCCCACTACGACCCATCGTATCCACGATCAACTCCCCTACCTATAGACTAGCCCGTTTTCTGTCAGATACCTTGCTGCCTTTCACTGGCAAGACCGCCTCAGCAGTACTTAACTCAGCCCAATTGGTCTCTATGGCCAAAGATGTTGTACTGTCCCCTGACGATATCCTTGTCAGCTTCGATATGGTCTCTTTGTTCACCAAGGTCCCAGTACCTGATACCATTAAAATTATTGAAAATTTGTTCCAACATGGACTAGACCCCGATACACCTGTACTGGTTAGGCACTGCCTCAACAATACCTATTTTAC